TTCAAAGAATTAAACTGTTTTTAATTGTATCTACACCAATCTTTTTCCGCTGTTATGCACTCTTTTCGTTAAACGCTTAAACTGTTAATTACTTAATTTAAATACACCTGCAAAAAACAGTAAACACTGCTTGAAATATTCTTCTTGCCGTTTTCAAAACCTTTGACGAAATCGTCTTATTTGCGGACGATTTCAGTTCACTCGCATCTGTACCTGCCCATATCAAAACTCAAAGCTTGCCCAGCAATGCCTCGTCTCAAGCCCGAACCAAAAACTACAGCTGTGCTATTTTCGACATACTCAGGATATCGCCGGAAGACTTTGCCAGTCAATTGACATTACTCGATTTGCCTGTGTTCCTCAGCATCCAACCCGACGAACTCACCAGTTGTGCATGGAATAAGAAAAACAAGTTGACCATGGCGCCCAATGTTGTTGCATTCACGAGACGATTCAATCACGTAAGTACCAACACCTGCTCGTAATTCGAGCGAACAGCGAATGTTTGACGCAGGTGAGCTTCTGGACGGTGCAAGAAATACTCAGCGGGCCAACACCCAAACAAAGAGCGGAAATACTCGCGTTTTTCATTAGGATAGCGAAGAAGTTGTACGATTTGAATAATTTGCACTCGTTATTTGCAATGATTTCAGCCTTACAAAGTGCCTCGATTTACAGGTTTGACAACGTAACGAAAATTTAATTGATTTTTGATGAGTGTTTCGTAGATTATCAAAAACGTGGACTTGTTTGTCTAAAAAAGACAAGCAGACTTTTGACAAACTGGCCGAGGTGTTTTCGGATGCTGATAATTGGTCGAATCTCAGGCGCCATATTGAAAGTTTGAAACTTCCTTGCATACCTTATTTGGGTACAAATTAATCTTCTTTTTTACATTTAACTAAATTTAAAAATTATAGGTTTATATCTGACTGATCTTGTTTATATTGACATGGCCCATCCTCATTCTGGTGGTTTAGAATCCCAGCAAAGGACTCTCAAAATGAACAATATTTTACGTGTAATCTCTAATTATCAACATTCTGATTATTCTCACTTGACTGCAATACCTCACATTCAAGACTACTTAAATTCAATCAGATATATCGAGGAACTCCAAAAATTCGTCGAAGACGACCAATACAAGTAAATTATCATTTATTATTATCTCTTGCAACACCAAGAACACTAGAATATTCTTTCAAGATATTTAAAACTAAAATTTTAATTCAAAAAAATGTAGAATTGAATTATTAATCTTTTTAGGTGTTTTAGGCTAATCGAAATTTGTCAACAATTTTTTCATGTAACGATCTTTAAACAAGACATTTTATGAATCTTAACAGTTTTGAAAACGTCCTAGACAAACCAGAAAAAGACAAAACCTTCAGTTTCCTTTACTTCTGGAACCTCAACAATGCAGAGGGCCAAGAAATTTTATCCAGTGACCTCTAACTATTTTTCTAATTATAGTAATTACCTTTAATTAAGCACGTGTTCTGAGATTAAAAATGAGAAATTACATTTCGGGCTATGGTGGATTAGGAAAATTATAATTGAAAACAAATAAAAACACAATCAAAAATGGCAAATCCTTTCTGAATTAACGTTATGATGGCCTAAAACGACGATGCTCCTACTTATTCCGGTAAAATCTTCTGATTTGAGTCTATTTCTGGTTCCAATACGTACTTTTTTTGAGCCATGAAAGTTATTTATTACAAGAAATTTAAGACAATTTGGAAAGTTATAGTGTTGAAGATTTTTTGTCACATACCACATATAATAAAAAAATTTCACCTAAAGGGTGAAAAATTGATGTAGTGTATATTCGCAATTCCACATTCTTTTATCCACTTTCAGAGATAAGTAAAGTGGAAAATTTCTCATGCGATTGACTTATTTGTAACTGTGTATTCCAGAAGGGCATTGGCGCCAACTTTTCATATTTTCAATGGGTGCACAAACAAAAAACTTTATAAATTAAGCGTCTTTAAAGCAATAGAAATAACTTAAAAATTTGTTTTCATATCTTCTATATACATGTTTGTAACACTTGCAATGGTTTCTTCTTTGTTTTTGTGAATTTAACGAATTTAATATTTAGAACATTGAAAACAATATAATTTTTCGTATAGTACAAAAGAAAAAACAATAAATAACAGTGAAAACAGTAACAGTAATAAAAAGTGGTTAATGTATGTACCTATACAATAATAAATGTCAAGAAAATAGTACATGTTCAAAGTTGCAAAATACTTCAAGTTGTTGAGTTTTGAAAAATAATACACTACTGTTAAATTTGAAAAAAATAAATAAATTTGGATTTTTTTTTAATTCCAATATTTTTGTTTTTGTAAAATTTGCATGTTAGTTGATCGAGTGCTAAATACGGCTTAGAGATATCAACTTTTAATTGATGCAATTAATTTGAGATAAATAGTCTTAAAAATAGTCAGTTTTGAATTTTATTAGAAGTGTTCACAAAAAACAATTTTTTTTTTAATTTATTAGAATTGTTTTTTCAAATTTAACAAATAACTAATGTTAATGTTAAAAAGACTTTGAAACATTAGTCTTTCTATCAATATTTGTGAATACGCGATAGATTTACTAAAACAACAAAAAAGTTACTTTTTTCTCTGTTCTTTAAATCAAAAAAAATTTTTTCAAGAAATCGTAAAAGAATCTTGAAGTAAATTTATTTCAGTTTTTGAAACTACCCTTATACAGGGTGTTTACAGTCTTGAGGTTGAAATTTAAATGAGATGATATTCACGGTAGAAGAAAACTAATACGCTAAAAACAAGAATTCACGTTGTTAAAGGAAATTATTCATTTTACACTATTTGTTTGAGAACTACTGCTTTGGCTGCAACAATGGCCATTAGTATCATTACCTTGTGTTTCACCGTAAATTATAATCAGGACAACTAATATATTATTTTAATATTTTGCCATACATGTTCATAAATATAGAGAAAAATTACGAATCAAACCATTCGCTGAAAGAGATTAAACAGAAGATCTTCGAATTTTGATAAAAACTAAATCAAAAGCAAATCAAATGATGACAGTGTCAAATCTATGAAGTGACTTTTCTCTTTCATTGTCATGGATACGATTTTTTTTATCTGTTGCAATTTTATGTTAACAAGGAAATAATTCCAGTGACCCTCAAACCGTGTACCAATATTTTGGAGTTAAATAACATTCTTGAGATTGCGTCACAACCTGTAGCTCAGATTTTTTTTTGAACATTTTTTGTTCTCTTAATCTTTTGGAGTAGTGTATAAAAAGTTTATGTAGAATGTTTTGTCGTTTTAAAGTATCTGAGATAATAAAAAATCTTTTTCACTGAAAAGCTTAATTTTGGATTAATTTGGAAAATGGAAAAACAAAATAGAATAATATGTATAAACATGAATTTGATCTATTTTCTGGAAGACGAAAAACAGAATAATAGAAAATTTAAGACATCTTTGACATTAAAAGTGATTAATTTATTTGATGGGTGCCCCGCACCCATTAAAAAATTTCAAGTATAGTCGGCGCCTTTGCAAAAGTGCAAGAGTTTCTTTTGTTACCTGTTTTAATATTAAATCGAATAGCCTCGTATAACACAAAAGAATCAGAAGTTTACTTATTTATGTGTGTCGAGTTTAGCGAAATTTACTGAAAAATATTCACGTTTTCTTGGTACTGCAATTTCAGAAATAGGCAGTATAATAATAGCATTCTTAGACTTTCATTGAAACTGGAACCACTTTCGCCGGCCCCGAGTTCCTCAAGTTGCAGCTCAAAGGAATCGGTGATTGTCGATGCAGCTGCAATCGCATCATTAAATCTCTCGCCGGCAAAGGCTTCCAGCGGATCATTACGTCTTCACGCCGTTACATCAGGAAGTAAATTCATACCGGGTCACAGAAAGTGCCGCAGTTTAGGAACAAAGTGAGTCTTTGAATAATTTAAGTAGTTTTTCACGGGTTTTTGCCTTTTTATTTTTCATCACACGCTTTAACAAATTTTTAGTGCGCCTTTAAAAAATTAACAAATGTTCAAACATTAAAACGTACTTTGTCTAGATTTCGTAGTACAAGTCTTCCTCGTAATTTCCACAAAACAGGGTGTCCCTCTGTGGTACTACCCTGGGGGTAAGTGCTTGAAATGTTTAAAGCCTTGCTTGGAAAGAGATTAGATGATATTGCATGTAGGGGAACTGATTGAGTGATAGTGCTTTGTGTCGAGGAGAATGTGATTAATTGCTTTTGTGGGAAAGGAAATTGGCTGTAGATTAATTGAACGGTGTTTAAATTTCGACTAAAGTCACGTCACTAGTTTGGGTAGGGAATGTCGATGTTGGCACCGAAGTAAATAATATAACTAGCCAGTAATTAGAACTAACTTCACTGTCTTTAATTGGCTACTTAAGTAGAATAGGAATACCAAATCAAGACATTTTATAGTTAAATAATTAGGGCCGTAAAGCCAAAATTATGATTAAGATGCCAATCTTAAATAAAGAAAATTACATCTTTCGTGTATTTGATAGAAAGGTAGTACATTGTTCAATTCAAAATCGTAAAGAAAAGTGGGATTTTGATCGTTAGCAACACATTTCTTCACGATTTGAGTCAGCAACACTATTCTTCACCATTTTGGATACTTAACGACCATTAAATAAAGCAACAATTAAACTTTATACATTTTAATTATGAATATTAATAGAAAATATACAATTATTTAAAGTAGGCAGGCTCCATGTAAAGCAAAAATCATAACTACTTTAATGAAGGTATCATCCGGGGCCTTAGTGAAAACCGTGTTGATGTTATCTATCGTAAAAACCTTAGATTTTTTGGCCACATATCCGTCATTGTTAATTATTTTTATTAATAGCCAGCGTACATTTTAACATTGAATACAATGACCACAATGATAGCTAACATTACCATTGTAACTTCTAGTGACACATAGAGTGTTGTAAAAAAAGCCGCTTTAATTCTTCAAAAAATATATTTTATATGACACAAAAATGACGATATGGCTATTCAAATACCCAAATTCCGTATATGTGGAACGTTATCCTACCTCCATTAGACCATCAAAAATCGTTTTTTCTTATTATGTTGACTGTTGAAACATTTGTTTTTCCTATCCTAAAAAATATGTAATAATTTTGTTCGGAGGCGCTCGCATATTCGTTCAATAGTTCTAATCTATCCTATTTTTTTAATTTTTTATAATTTTCATGAATGATTATGATGGATCTATTTCACATTTCACAAAACTTTCATTAATTATTATCTACACATTTTGAGTGTAATAGTTTTTCCATAGCCAATTACTATTAAACAAAATATGTATTTTATTTTTTAAGTATAATTGTAAAAAAAATATTCTGTTGCACATACATATTTTTTAGAACAGAAAAAAATAGCATAGCCACTCATTTAAAAAAAATACAACTTTATCTTATTACGACAAAATAAATAACTGAAAATTTTGTTCAACTTTTTATAAGTAGAAATGTCAACATTTTCATTAATAGCCAGCATACATTTTAACATTGAATACAATGACCACAATGTTGAAGATTTCAAACTTTTAGCCTACAACAATACGTTAAAAATTAGTACTGAAAAGTAATGTAATTAATGACAAATACCTTTTCAAAAAAGAAAGCGATTAGGATGTTTTCATCACTTCCCTCTACTTTTTTTGATTTTCTCCATGAACAAAACTGTTCATAAGTTTTCTCATACTTTTCTCTTGCCTTCGTCGGTAGCAAATTTGAATTAACTTCTGCTACTGTTGTTAAAATATTGGAAAACCCTTCACCCAATTCAGTCATTTTGCATAATGAAAAATTTATTTACTAAAAACATCGTTCTCTTGTTTTGATTAATTAATTTTTCTTCATTTTTACATTTTAGTCCTTTTGGTCAAATACACGAAAAAATTGCATGTTCAAAACGTTAAGAAAAGTGATTTTTCCTTGTTCGTGTAAAACTTTTACACTCACTGGAAAACAACCACTTTTCTTAATTTATAGAACAATCTACTACTTGTACATCGAAAATCCATATAAAATATCTTGATTGTCTCCATTTTATTTTATTTTTGCCATGCTTTGTTCAGAGTATTTCACAAGTTGTGGGTCATTTTTTCCTATTCCAGAATAATGAGTTGTAAATCGCGTATTGTGTAATACTCTGGATGAATAAATTTCATCATTTTATCGTCCAAATGGGCAAAAATGACAAACTGATTTTCCATTTTAGTATTTTTAGCAAATCTCATCAAGTCGGTGCGTTTGATCCCAAAGATCTCCCGAAAACATTACATTTGTTAGATGATTCTGAATTGGAAGACTCTTCAAGAAACCTACATTTACTTCATGCCGATTTGCCATCACCCACCATCGATTTACCACTCCAAGCATCACAAAGTACGGCGGAAAATTCAACACTTCTTACGAGGTAGGTGACTTAACGCCGGTTTTAATTAGATTAATTTTCTCACATGTTTTATTCATGGAGTTTAATTTCAGGTTGGCAGAGGATTCTCTGGGTCCAGAAGATCAGGTCTGCACAATGCAAGGTTGTGTTCGGCGAAAGACTGTTTTAAAAGAAGGACGTAAGCCAACCGTGACTTCTTGGCAACGTTACTGGTTACAAATTTGGACAACATCACTTGTTTACTTTTCACCGAAATCTTTTAAAGGGTAAACACCCACCAGTGGTTTAGGGATGTTGATTTAAGTTGAATGATTGTAGTCACCAACGATCTGATTTCAAAAGAGAGCCTTGCAAGCTGGTGCCGTTGATGGGTTGTCAGATAATTCTTGGTGACAATGGTGTTCAACAGGATTGTTTCCAAATCATCGATCATCATCGAGGAAACATCTACAAATACAGAGCGGGTACCAAAAGTTTAGCAGAAAAATGGTGTCGACATTTACAACAAGCAGCTAACGGAGAACAAACTCCTCTTCCTAGTAATCTCATGTCTTTTGAGTAATTTGCGTGACTGAATGATATTGTTATTTATTTTCTATGATTATTTATTTTAAGTTGTACCTCCTCTTTTGTACATTTGCATTTATTACACATAGCTTTTTAATTGTTTACTTGTGTGGTTTTAATTCTCCGACTTGGATCAATTTATCTCTTTTACCTTGAAGCACCTTAAAGAAAAATATAGGTTATTGAATTTCTTAGACACTATTAAAGTCTGAAATCAATCGAATATTCGTATTTGTGCAGCCGTTAACATATTAATTAACAACATACTTAAGGTACTTAATGTTTTTTTATTATACTGGGTGGTTTAAGGTATGTGCAAATCTTTTAACAGATGATAGTAGAGCTCACAAGAAGTCAAAATAACTAAACTTGTCTTATCCGAATGTTTATAGTTTTTGAGATATAGAGGATGCAATCTTCACTGTAGCGTCTAAAAAATTGTAAAAAAATGCAATATAAACGAAGTTTAAATCTTTTGAGTATTTTATCCCAAAGTTCACGTTGCGAGAAATCGGTAACATCCCAGGTAATGAAATTGAGTGCCACCTTCAACAAAAAAAAATCATCCAAAATTTTTACCGTGTTATTTTTTTATATGAGGACATTTTTTGTATGCCTGTTTTTGCTAATTTTAAGCCAATTTTCAAAACAATATTTTTTGATTTTGATGAGCTAACCTCAGAGGTCATATTTGTATACAGTTTGAGTTGGTGAAGCTTAAGGCTGCACCCCAAATTTAAATTTATTCGATGAAACATTTGGCGTATTGAGAGGATGCGATTTACCCTCCTTTTGGTTTTTCACAAAAAGAATTTTTTAAAAAGTTTTTTTCTTTTTAGTCCAGAAATTAGATTCAAGTTTGCAGCAGGAACGCTTCTCTATAAATTTATTCACAACAAAACTGATTGTCCACAACTGCTTAACAAATTAAATTTTCGTGTTCCTCGTCAGAATTCTAGAAACAGACATCTATTTTACCTGGATTCCAGTCGAACAAACTTTAAAAAAAAATCACCAATTTTTAGAATGTGTTTTGAAATAAACCAAGCTGATATAGATATATTTAACTAAAACTATACTAGGTTTTGTAATATTTTAGATAATTATTCTATATGTGTTTATAAATAATGTTAATAATAATAATGTATCTCAAAAATTATAAATATCCGGATAAGGCAAGTTTTGACTTCTTTTAAGCTCTCCTATTACATGTTAAAATATTTACACAAACCTTAAAATCACGCTGTAAACAGTTGGTAATAAATTGGAACGAATAATATTGTATAATAATAGTAAAAATCTTTATTATCCTACAGATCAGAAACATTCAATAACAGGACAAAAATGACAGAATCCTTATAATATGTAATCAGAATAAAGAGATAAGTATTTTAAGTCTTAGCTAGGCACCCTATAAATACAATGTTTATTTTTTGTAGCTTCTTTGTAAAGTTTTAAAAATTTCAAGAATGCGAATACCATAAATATACAAATAAAAGTATATAAAAAGCGAACAGTTCTAAATTTGTTGGTTTTTGAGTTGATACAGAGAATGTTCTAAAGTGCATTAGATGTTAGTTGTAATTAAAAGTAATTTTGTTGAAAATTATTTAAATTTTGGATACTGATTTAATGGTTGCATCTATCTTGAACAGTTTTTAACCATCGCCTTAGAGGTTGGATAGTGGACTGAATCCTAAAAACAACTTCCTACCCAAGCTCCTGATGTATCTCATCTTGCATTTTTTATACATAATTACGGTTACAATTATAATAAAATTTTATTGAATTAAAGTTGTACATCATTTCATACGTGGTTTTGTGTTAAATTCTGAAAAGGGAAACCTGAAATTGTTGATACGACTAAAAAGGTATGTTAAATTACTGTTATCAATTTCTGCATTTCTATATGTGTGCTTGTGAAGTATTGTTTTGATTTTCTAATTGTAGGAAAAGGAGGCATTACTTTTGATTGATTTAAATTTCATTGAAAGTAGACTAGGTGGAACTCCAGTTATAGCCTCAATACTTTCAAAGAACTTGGATGTAACAAGGTATGGTGTAATAAAATATCTAATAGAAAATAGAGCCGACGTTAATTACAAAAAATTACAACATTATGACCTTGGACTTTTACACTTTGCAATACAGATATCGTGTCCATTAGGTACATTACATTACACATTACATTAGTAATGCAGATGTAAATCAACCCGGAAATATTACTAGTCGTTGTCCATCAATACAATATACACCACTTTTATTGTGCCTTGTAATGAGAAATTTTGAAGCTACCAAACTTTTAATTCATAAGGGGGCCGACATGTATAAACAAAAGTCTGATCAATCTAGTGCTTTAACGCTTACTCAAAGACGGTGGATATATTGAATTATTACTACTATACATCCCTAGGGACGCCATTTTTACCGGAAAATTAGATCAAGCTCGACAACTTTTAGAAAGTGGTGCAGATATTTGTTCAGTTGACCCAATCAATAAAACTCCTCTTTTGGTGGCCGTTGAAAAAGCCAATCTGGAGGCAATTAAAGTTTTATGCCAATTTAGAGCCATTCTGACAATGCCAGTAGCTTTCCTAAGAGCCATAGATTTGAGCAACATTGACATAATTAATCTGTTTATCGAAAACAATGTTGTAATGAATTACAAACCTCGCTATGGAACTACTCCCCTAATAACAGCTATACAAAAGGGGAATTGTGATGTGGTGAAAAGTTTGATTAAAAATGGCGCTGACGTTAATTTTACGGATAATCAAGGCTCTTATCCACTGTTTGAATCTTTGAAACTTGAAAACTGCGATATTGGGAAATATTTAATAAGCAAGAAAGCCAAAATCGATTGTAAATGTTTAATGAGAGACAATTTTCAGTGTGTAAAGAATTTAATTAAGATTGAAATTAAACTGAAGAGTATTTTGAAATCTTCTACTTTGCTGAAAGTTGTTGAAACTAAAAATGCCTTTTTTGTGAATTATCTTTTAGAACAAGGTCTCCTAATTAACTTGTATGATAAAAAACAAAAAAGTCCTCTTGTTGCAAAAAATCGCAGTTTCCCCACTGTTGCAATTTTAGTCGATGCTGGCGCTGATGTTAATTCGGCCAAAGAAGAAATGGAGGAATTTGCCGACCAAAATGACGACTAAAGGTAAATTACATTTTATTAAGATTTTGTTGTTATAATTTGTTTATTTCCAAGTCCAGGTTTTGGTGAGGGCTGTCACGACGCCGTAGATTAAACAACGAAATTTAATAATCCATTTTTTTAATATGCATAATAAAAATCATTTTTAAAAATTTCGTTTGTATCACTACTTCCTAGAGATTCGAAAGTGGTTTTGCACTGGAAGTACCTATGGTTAGTTAAGCAAAAAATAAAAAATATTTGACACCCTTTTTATTCGCAAATTAATAGAACTTTGATAGTCTGGAATTTATGGCTTTGAAAAATATTAAAAAAAGATAATAATAACTAAAAAGTAGTTAACATTACTCCCACTTAATTCTTTTATCGTTACGTCTCTCTTTCACACACTTAACAAGTAGTTTTAGACACACGATTGACAAATAACCAGAGAATATAAGCAATACCAAAAATAATATTAACACATCTACCAGAAGATACTGATAAGTTGGTATCTGAGTTGGTTTCAAAAATTTTGCCCCCTTATGTTTCAAAACGTATTCAATCCATTTTACAGTTTGATTAAGTCCAGAAATGGGTTGCTCTTTCAATAAAATTGATAATTTTTCAGCGGATTTTTTGTACCTGAAAGAAAATCTTAGTTTAGATACTTCCAAATATTTCACTTACTTTTCATTATTTAAAATTTCTTCGATTGATTTCTTCAGTACTTCTTTTTCCAATTTATTACTATCAAGAATAATTCCCATTCCTTTACGAATTGCCCTTTTAACGTTTGAGTATTGATCAACGTAGACAGGCATCCCTATAATAGGAATTCCGTTATAAATAGCTTCCTCCAAGGATTGAAGTCCCCCTTGAGTAATAAACAGTTTGATTTTTGGATGTTCTAAAACCCCAACATGATTTTTACATAATTGCGACCAATGGTCCTACTTAAAATCTGTTGTTGTGGTAGCCATGGTTTTACCAAAATTTTCGAATTAGTTGAAATACTTGTGTCTTCGAATTTCCATAACACCTTGTAAGGCAGTTCTGAAAATACTTGCAAAAATGTAGTTTTTGTTTCTTTGTCCAAATCCTTGCTTTTAACATTAGTTCCAAGACTGAAATAAATCGCTCCGTTTTCAGCTCCATCCAAAAATTTTTGTATATCCTAAAAGTGGGGGAAGATATAAGTCAGTAAACGACAAATTTTTCAGTTGTTAGTGTTTCATGTCTCAATGTTGGAAAAGCTAAAAAATATTATAAGCTGTCAAGTAACATTGAAAATAGTGGAAAATCTGGAGTATTAGTCTTGAAACTTGAATATTTTTTACTGCTTTAAAGTGCTTTTGGGGTGGATTATTTACAGAAGAATTATCTCCATATATTAAAAAAAAATATTTTTTCATTACGAATCCGCTGATACAGACATGCAGAATGCTTTAAAATGTTAAAGCACTAAATAAAATCAAAGTCCTACAATATTGTTATAATTGATTTTTTTTCATATTATTTTACTTATAACGGCTTTTTGTCTTCCACTACATGATAAACACCAATGAAGCACTAAAATCATGTAATCTCACGAATAGTGCTTTGAGCATAAATATTTATGTATTTAGAAAGAAAAAATTCATTGTAAACTGTGATATGAAGCACTAAATAATACTTAAAATTCAAGAATTCAATAATAACTTCAAAAAATCAAGATCAGTGCTTCATGCACTGTTTTATATTTTTCCTGTATTTTTATTTATAACAATTCAAAATCTTTCGCCGCATAAAGGTGTGTAATATGAAACTCTTTAAAACATCAAAAAAATTGGAAGAAAATATTTTTACAAAAAAATCATAACTTGTATAAGATGTATTAGCACTGAACATAAATCACTAACGAAACAACAAATAATAATACAAGTCAACTTATTGCTTACAATTTTCGGCTGTTCTGTAATTTTATTTATTTAGTTTCAATCTAAAATTTTATTTATAACAATGAAAACACTTTAAAATCCTAGCTAGGCCTTTGACTGTAATTTTACTTAAAACATTTTTTTTTAATTTTTGCCAACATTTTAAGATGTAAACATTTTAAATCACCAACGAGACACTAAAAGAAATCCAAATCCCACAATGAGTGCTTCAAGTGTTGTAGCTGTAGTGTAATTTTATTTCCCAGTTTCCTTAACAACTTTTATGTTTCACCAACATTGAGAATTTTACTTTAGTGCTTCAATTTGTCCTTCATTTTTTCCAATACCTAATTTAGAATTTATCCAGAATTCAGATTGACTTTTCTTGAAGTTAAAGTAATGCTTTAACAATGAAAAATTACTTACTTCTGGTAAAGCAGAATCCCTCTCAAAATGTGTCCCTCCTCCCACCATTATCACATTGCTCATTAAGGGCCTTATATTATGAATAATTGGATTCGTGTTGAGAAAAACCATACTGGCATTACGTTGCATCTCTTCCAAAGCAGGGACATCCTCTCCAAAATACTTCTTGATAATCTCATCAATTTTCGGATAAAAATAAAACTTGAAATAAAGTTTACTTCCAACGTAATAAAACGTATTGAGCACTCTCTCAAAGAAACTCATCTCACTGTCGTAGTGAGAAATGAAATCAGGGAACAAAGCAGGCGAGATTGGGTGCCCCAAAGCTTCATGCACAAAATTGGTCAAATCCATTGGAGACATTCCAATAAAAGGGCAATTAAACCTTTTACCAAAAGCCACCATCGCCGGATTCAAAAATTCAACGATTACTAAATCAAAGTGTTCGTTTTTGTCGTTGATGATTTCTTGGACTTGGGGATGTTCGAGTTCTTGTATGATGATGTCGTTCATCATTTCCACGTATTGGTTCAAGCACTTGGGTAAATTTGTGTTGAAATTTCTTATAATATCGCTGACGTTGTGCTTTTCGTGCCATAATTGGTAAGCGAAGCTCCAATCGACTTGACGAAAGTTTGATAGATTGGTGTTTTTGATCGGGTCAGTGGTGAATAATGTGACGTGGTGTCCTTTCGAGTTCAGTGTGAGCCAAAGGGGATTGAAGACGATTTGGTGGCTGTATGAGGGGGTTGGCATTATGGCTAAAATTCGGCCACTATCACTGGGCAAGATTAAACTGATTAAAATTATTGTTAGCACTAATACATGTTTTAGCAACATTTCTTGTGTTATCTTGAATAGTACGAGTAACAATAAATAAGGCAAGTTTAAGATAAAAGAGTAATGTATATAAATAATGTATGTTATCTTATTTACATCTAATTACACAGTCATTAACAATTAAATGTGTTTCAATTGCTAGTCTTTATTTTCATTAGTTTTTCTAATACCTTCAAAACATTTGTTAAACTTCACACTGACATTAAAATAGCCACACTGTGTCCTCACTAAGTATTATTTTAAATGGTGTTAAAAATACGAAATTTATTATTTTTTACAGCGAATTGCTTAGTTAATTAAGTAAAATTTTAACCTGCGGAAGTATTGTTATTATAATATTATATTGTTAACATTCTTAGATTGTACCTAAAATTTTATTTATCAAAAGTAGTTTTTTTTTGGTGTTGCGTTTAAAAATAAACAAAAAAGTTTTTGCAGTTTCACTAGAGAGACTTTTATTTTTATTAATTCGAATCAAGAAGTAGTGATGAACATTTTACGCCATAATTTCCCATAATTAACTTACAATGGAATTTTATAGACGCAAAAAATAAAGTGTATTTATTATCTTATTTCATTATCTTATTTTATTTACAACAAACAAACCACTTGAAATTTGCTAATCATAAGATAACATAAGCTAATAAATCATAACTAACATAAAAATATATATATATAAAGTTCGATTTTAAACTGAAATAGGTGTTTTTTCAAACACGAAAATTTTAAGTCGGTAACAAATGGCAGAACACACAGAAGAGAATGTAAGTTTTTTTCTACTTCGTCTTTTTCTACTTATACTTGTATTAAAATTAAAAGTATAATTTGGAAAAAAGAATTTCTTTTACCCATCAGTCATGACTTCATGAGACATAATCAAATAAGGATACACAGTTTTTACTTGTTCTAATACTTATGGAGTCATGAAAAATATTTTTTCTTCCAATTTATATACAATTTAGAAATTGAACATGATCTTATATGTATGTACCAAAAACAAGATACTTTGAAACGGACTTTAAAGATAAAAATGAATCAAAATATACTTTGATTTTTCAAAAATTGTAACCAAAAAACCTAAAAAACCTAAATTACATTAGACTAAATTACACAAGACTAAACAAAGTTTAAAGTCTATTTTTCATAGATATGAATCTCAATGTTTTTGAAGATAATACAGTGATATCAAAAAGTCTTTCTATCAAATAAGTACTCGTATACAGGGTGTTTACGGTTTTGGAGTTTAATTTACCTAGTAATAGAAGAGTATAGAAATAGTGTAAACGAGAAAAAAAACTCACATAAGTGTTATTATTAACAATGTTATTTAACTCCAAAATATTGGTACACGGTTTGAGAGTCACTGGAATTATTTCGTTGTTCAGATAAAATTTTATTGTTGCAACTGTTAATCAACGCAGACGATGGTTGCAACAAATAAAAAATCGTATCCGTGAGAATAAAAAAAAAGTCACTTCATAGTTTTGACACTGTAATCATTAGATTTGCTTTTGCTTTAGTTTTTATCAAAATTCAAAGATTTTCTGTTTATTCTCTTCCAACGAAATGGTTTCCAATAGGTTTGATTCGTTTTTCTTAATTTTTTCCAGTCATTCTTGCAGCCGAAGCAACAGTTCTCAAACAAATAATCTAAAATGAATTATTTCCTTCCACAACGTGAATCTTTGTTTCATATAGCGTATATGAAAAGAATGTCAAATAATTTGTCACAGTATTCAGTTCAATCAATTGCAGTTAATCGATATTAAGGAGTTAGTTTGGTTGCCAGAAAACACTCCAAAGATTCAGTTAATTCAATTCCAGTTTATTTTAAGAGTAAAAATTCGCTATTTCATTTACGTTGTTTCCAAATAAAGAACCAGATTATTAGTCAAAAACGAGGAAATAAAGTGTAACTTTATTTCCGTTAGGAGTAAAAAACATTTAAAAAATCCGATACTGCTTATTTTTTCAAAAAACAAGTGCTTTTAGGGATGTGTAAACATAACAAAATTAAAAGTCTATAATACCAGAGTAACCTTATTAGAGAACAGCATTGATTATGTAACCATTTCGTTTAGTAAAACGTGAGAAATGCAATTTTGATGGATGTTAACGTTGCGATAGTTTATCGTAAACTCAAATAAAATGAACACAACCTAAAATGAGGGAACAGTCCATCGATGTTACACAAAATGTAATCAACGAAATAGATATAGAAAGCAATTTTCTTGAGAGAAAAAACAAATAAAATTGCAAAACTTTAACAGCGCTATGGCAAACACAGCTTCAGATTAGTAAAAATCGGTTTCAAAAAAGCAATTCTTTGGATGTATCCTTTTAATTGATTATTCCGTAGGAAACGACGTTAAAATATAACTCAAAGCAGAATTGTAGCAATTAAATTGGCTACATGCCATAAATGTAAACATTAAAATTAACAAATTATACTTATTCGAACAGTATTATACCCATAAAACATGTTCCGTATCAATTAGTTTTTATCTCGAGAAGTACTTAACACTTATTTCATAGGACAATTGGTAAATTAATGATAACTGTTATCAATAAGGTGAAAAACCACTTTTCACACAACTGATTACTCTTTCGGCAACCATGTTTAAAACATTTCTATATTTCGTAATAATCTCAGTTAGTTACAGTGAGTGTGCAAGAATTCTTGGCGCCGTTTTCACCCCATCTTACAGTCACCAAGTGGCATTTCAACCAATATGGAAGGAACTCTCACTTCGAGGTCATCAACTGACCGTCTTGACCACAAATCCACTAAACGACTCAACTTTGAAAAACTTAATCGAAATCGACCTCAGCATGTCCTACGACATCATGAAAGAGTACAAAGCCGATGAAATTTTATCCTCAAATAACGACAGTGTTGCCGTACGTATAAAAAAATACATGGAAGCATTGCACGTCATAGCAGACAAGCAATTAGCACATCCCAAAGTACAAGATTTGTTGCACAACAAGAGAAACGATTTCGATTTATTGATGGTGGAAGCTATATATCCCACACAGATGGTGTTCTCCTGGTGGTTTAATATCCCCTTCATTGGATTGATTTCCCTGGATGCGCCTTCTCGAATTCATACCGCTGTGGGTAATCCAGTCCATCCAGTTTTGTATCCAGACTACGATCTACCGTTTGATAAAAACTTGAGTTTTGGGGAAAGAGTGATCAGTACTTTGTTTCATTGTGCTATGTTGCTTTATACCAAATTTCGGTTGCATGCAAGAGAGGAGAAAACCCTAAGGAAATATTTTGGTGAAGATACACCGCCGATTAATGAAATACAGAAAAATATGAGCATGTTGTTCATCAATGCCAATCCGATTTTTCACAACATCAGGCCTTTGGTGCCAGCTACGATTCAAATTGGGGGCGGTATACACTTGCATGAACCAAAGCCTCTCTCAAAAGTAAGTTATTTTACTATAGGATTTCTTACAGCCAAAAATAAAATTGTTTCTAATTCTTGGTTTTTTTGAGTTGAGTAAGATTTTATATCAAAAAAAACATTAACTATTCAAACATTGTTAATACAAGTGTAGTAAGCATTTTCTGTGGAACACACACACAGTATGAGATTCCCCAGAAATAAAAATGTCTATTTGTAGCTCCCAACTGCTAAAAAATGTATTCAACTTTTATTTATATTATCTCAAAATGTTAGAAAAAATCAATAATGGAATATTTAAAAAATTGTAATTAAATGACTCAAGTTTGTAAATTGTTTTGAACAGCACAAATCACAAATTTCGAAACGCTGCAAACTTTTAAAGAAAATGTGTAATAGCAAACCTAAGTACATACACAATGTACTGAATTTTGAAATGTGTCATTGTTGCAGTCGGTGAGCGAAATAATGCCCGTAGTACAAACAAGTTTTCTTTTTCTTACCTGTTCAACATTATTAAAAAAATAAATAAAACGAAAATTATTAACTGCAACTTCTAATTCTGGCTCCTAGGGTATTATTTCTTTCATAATATACCTCGTGTGGAAGTCATTATTGAACAATAATGAACAAGACAATCATAAAAAAAGAAATACAAAAATCATAGACACTACTCTACTACATGCCCTAACATTATTTTCGAGTATAAGAATGTCTCAGAAATAAATTACAACACAAACAAACTCTCTGTAGATAGTTATTAATTGTAATGCTTTTCAAGTTAAATTTTTTGTTGGTCAATTTTGCTTATTAAAACAAATTGATTTTTCTGACAAAAACACACTTATTTAAAAATTTATTGTACAAAAACTAGGGATAAGAAAAAAAATTGCTGCTTTAAATAAAAAGGTAACAACTGAAGGGGTTATTACAAAAACGTGACAAGCCACAGATTTTTTTAAAATGACATCAAGACTTTAGATAGGCCACACAGTCACGAGTTTGGGTATTTTTCAAAAGATTTTTGGAAGTTACTGTTCTGAGTTACTGCATTTATCAAAAAATCTAGGAGTTACAATATCAAAATATAAATTTCATAGATTTTCTAAAACTCAAAGTCCTATTTCTCAATAATTTGATGATGTGGCTTAAAACGTTTTTACAATAAGTCCTTCAACTTTATGACTACAATATTTTTTTTAGTACATTGCAACCACAATGAAATTTATTAAAAATTAAAAAAACAAAAAAATTAAATGGAATACCTATGCATATATTTTGTTTTTGCATGTAAGAGATTTAAAAAATGTCTTTCACCGGTGTTTCAAATAAATTAATGTATTTATTTCTGACACAAAAGGGTTTGGCAGAAATGTATTTATTTTTATTTTTTTTTTTGTATAATCGATAGTTCTATAGTTTTTTACATTTTAATAGTTGTTTACCGGAAAAAAAACTACTATTCGAATAATAAATCGACGTTAAAATTTTTTGGAGATTTATTAAATGAAAATGCTTTTTTTCTAAATCACTCAAGTAATTTTCTCTAAAAAATCTCAGTTTCTTTTTTCAGTTGTAATTTCATTTGAATTTAAATAAGATTCTTAGTTATTACTGACGAACATGGAAAAAATTCTAAAAAAATACTTTGAGTATTTTTTTTTAATTTTTAGTAAAGGTATAAAAATTTTGGCAATAAAAGCCACAAAATAACGTTAAACATAGTTAGGTTAGAGCTTCCTTGTTTCCTCTTCTAATAATAGCCTGCAGCAAAAAAACATGGAAAATTATTTTTTAACAGAAATAAATAGAGTCAAAGTGCAAATTTAAACTCATAATTTCGAAATTTTTTTAACATGTTTTCTTTGTTTTGGTATCTTACCTCATATGGCATTTTTCTCTGGGGTGCGAGTTCTGAAACACCTTGTATACTCATAGGGATAGTTTACAAAAAGCAAATTAAAATTTCAATTTAAAATTAAACTAATTTGGATTACTTTGATATGTTAAACGTAAAATTAATCGTGAATATTTTAAAAACGAGCCCGTAGTCTTAATTTTTTTATAAGAGTGTCAAATTAAAATTGATATTTGTTTATTATCGAAAAAACCGAAAAAGTTTTATTATAAATTAAAAATATCTGAAAATAAACAGATAATTTCGTAAACCAGCTCTAAATCCAGTTTAAAATTACAATTGACTTTCTGTAAATGGACCTGAAAATTATTTATTACTGTTATTGCAATATTATTTTACTTGATTTTTAGGAAAAAAAAATTAGCATACCAATTAAATACAAATATTTTTACTTTTTGTTTTTGACTTTAATAGTAAAATTAATACTTGAGACTATTATAGTAACTAATGAACTTTGTAGGACATTCAAGAATATTTAGACAAATCCAACAACGGCTTTATATACTTCAGTCTTGGTACAAACGTTAAAAGTGCAGCCCTTCCACAAAACATCAAAGATGCAATCTTGCAAACTTTTGCTGAACTTCCCTACAACATCCTCTGGAAATTTGAAGACGAACACATACCCAACAAACCAAAAAACGTGAAAATTGTAAAGTGGTTACCGCAAACTGCAGTTTTAGGTAAAAATATCACAAATTAAATTTACTAAAAAACTAGATAAAACATTATTTTCAGCTCACAAAAATATCAAAGCATTTATTATGCAATGTGGCCTGCAATCCATGGAAGAAGCAATTGTTTACAACGTTCCAATGATCGGGTTACCTTTTTACGGAGATCAAGGAAATAATGCAAAAGTTCTAGAAAGTAAAGGTCTTGGCATCAGACTCAATACCGAAAAACTGGAGAAAACTGCGTTTTTAAATGCTATATTGACCGTCATTTCGGATCCAATGTACCTAAAATTCGTTTTTTTTAACCAAATTTAATTATTTTTTTTTAGGTACAAGGAAAATTTGAAAGAACTTGCAGCACTCTACAACGACCACCCGATGTCAGGGTTGGAAAAAGCGATTTGGTGGACTGAGTATGTAATCAGACACAAGGGGGCGAAACATTTGAGATCTCACACGATTGATGTACCAATGTATCAGTATTTACTCCTTGATGTTATCGCTTTCATAGCAACAGTGTTAATTGTGATAATTTACGTTATCAAAATCACAATTAAGTTCATTTTCAGGAAGATTTTTAGGAGAAAGTCCAAAACAAAAAAAGAGTAACACAAACCTGTTAATGTTTTTATTGGTAGAAATTATTTTGTTGAAATAAACTGTATTTTTTTATTCAGCCTATTTGTAATAAACGCTGGATAATATAAATTCAAAATGGCTTTGGCTTCTTTTATCATATATTCGACGTTTTGTAGAAAATCCCTAAAATTAAAATTGTACATTTTACAGATAATAAATGATAAAAACGTACTTGAGATTTGTGCAATTTTTTTGCTGTCCCCCCTTCAAACAGTGAAGTATTGCAAGGGCAGCTTCGTATAACTTAGTTCCTACAACCCTAGAGTTGCTACCCCGACGAGCTTTCTCATTCTCTAACCACAAATGAAAATATTTAAACATATTTTCAGCATCTCCTGTAACGAAAAATTTAAAAAATTCAAATAACAACTAAAAATTAACTTACCATGTTTTACGTAAAAACTATACAACCGATAATAAACTTCTTCGAAATCTTTGTGGTGTTTATAGAGTATTTTCTCTCTTATCTTTAAACTCTTTATTAAAAGTTCTAATTGATTAGAAGAATCACCTGGAATGCCTTGATCAGTTACAATCGTTGCATTTCCTTAATTCGAACTTACTTTCCATGTATTTTTGGGCCTCATTATTAATTTTTCTGAAGGGTTTTAAATGATATTTTTCTCCACAATTAACGCAAAAACTTAAAATTGTGTTATTAATTTCGGGGACCAATCCTTTACATTTAGGACACAAGTAGCTGTCCAGCATATCCTTAAAAGAATTAATTAAATCTCGGATTTTTATCAACAGAAATGGAAAGAAAAATGACTTCTTAATTATTGTTCTAGCCAAGAATAAACATTAACAAAGAAAAGCAATTATTTGTATTATAAGGGAGGAAAGTGTATCTTATCCCACAGGTGGAAGTTACTGCGCGAGACTTGTCGAAAAAAGACACTTTCCTCCATTGTATACATATAATTTTTCCTACGATCCAGCAACAAAAACTTTAATACTAAAAATTTTTCTTGATATGCCAGAGGCTACAATATTTATAATGTAATTATTATTATACTATATTTTTAATGTAATTTTGACAGGTGAGGGAGGAAAATTTTTACCTCCCTGGGATAGTCCAGTCAGCAGGGAGTTTTGCCCTATAAAAGGTAGGGTAGTAGTAATTTTTTAATATGTTGTTAAGGTCTAAGCCTTGACAAAAAATCCAAGTTTTCGACCTTGGGGGAGGACCGCTCGAGTTCAGATAAAAGTTAAAGAAGACAAAATTTCTCACATTTTTTTTGTAAGTCTAATGTGTAACGAGTTACAGCGGCGGAAATATGAACATTTTTCCCAAAAAATAGTAAAACATCCCATTCTCGACGGTGAATTTTGTAAGAACAAACTACACTTGTTTTTAATGTTTTTTCCGCACCACAATAGTTATACAGCGATATCTATTTTAAATTACACTAATTTTTCTTGTTACATATAGGGTTATTCATAAATAAGGCTCGGATTATATGCAAAATGCATATTTGTTATTAAGAGGCATATCAACAAAATTGTAAGTTTCCTATGCATATCTGATGTTTTTTGATTAAAGTAGGCCAATTAAAAATGCATATTTTGCATATTTTGGCAACTTCGTACATATTTTAGGAAATATGGCAAATCACAATTTCTAATTAAAAATTTCAGTTAAAGTTAAAAATTAAACAGTTTTAAAAAAAGATCCGATTACAAAATATGTTAAAGAGAAAAATTGTTTAAACTTTTGAGATTACCATACTATTAATATTTTTTTCTTAAATAAAAAGGTTTTTTATTTATTGTTTTACAAAGATATGTTTATATGTTTATAAATGTACAAAAATATTTATTAAAAATATTACAACTTATGATAAACTTTATCTGTTGTCAAAACTTTCTTCCACCGACCAAGGGGTGGTACTTTTAAACAATTAATTAAAACAAAAAATATCGTGGCATCGCTTCTTTACAACCTTTAAACATTCATCAATTTATTAAAAAAAAACGAGTAGTTTATTAAAAAAATTCTTTAATTCTTCTAAGTCAAACATTTTTTTAACAAAACGTGTTAAGTTTACAAAAAAATTTTGCACGGCAACAATTCTTGTAACAAGCTCGTTGTCTAGAAAAAAATTGTGGTAGATTTCCATTAAAAAAAATTGTTAGTATGTTTATCTCGTAAGTATAAAAAATTAATTGATATTCAATTTTTTTTTGAATAGCAGTTTTATAGCCATTGTACACCTATAATTTTTTTTTTGAGAAAAATATTGAGTTTCGCCAGAAAATAATAAGCGTTTCCAGACTTCTGGACCACTCTGTATTTTGATCAAATGGTTCCGAAGTTATTACAAAAAAAAATCCATACCCACGTTCCGAGGGCTATCAGTAGAGATAGGACACGAGTTATTATTAAATTAACATCGTTTTATAGGTCATTTTTGAGGTTCAAATATTGCTTCATATTTATGAATAATCCTATATGTAACAAGAAAAATCAGTGTAATTTGAAATAAATTTGAAATAGAAAATCGTGTAATTTGTTCTTACGAAATTCGAAAATGGGGAGGTTTGCTATTTTTTTGGAAAAATGTTCATCTTTCCGCCGTTGTAACTCGTTACACATTAGACTTACAAAAAAAAAAATGTTGATACAGAAAATGTGAGGACTTTTGTCTTCTTTAACTTTTATCTGAACACTTTTGTCGTAGAATCAAACCCTAAGGAGTTATTTTGGAAAAATCGATTTTTCGTACCTTTCATCCAAGATGGCGGCCCAAGCGGTTATATTAACAACATATTAAAAAATTACTACCCCACATTTTGTAGGGCAAAAGCCTTTTTTGGCCCCTACTGACTGGACTAGGAGGTAATTGCCCACTTTTCTTTCCGAAATTAGGGTGGAAAAACTTATTTTGTTGTTAGAGTCGTAGGAAAAATTATTTATTCACAATCACTATTTGCCATTCCCATTACATCCCGTGGTCGGAAAGTAATTTATTACTGCATGTAGTCTACTATTAAGTGCAAAGTTTATTACATAATAATTAACATAATCGCAATGAAATTAACATTTTTCTCTAATATCTTGTTATTCATTGCTGCCAACTTAATTTCAAAGTCACAAGCCATTTTCGTCGGAAATTTAATTAATAATTACCAGTTCGTGTGCAGGATCCGAGCAAATAACACATTTACATTCAAAATGGTACAACTCCTTGCAAGCATACTGTCTTTGCTCCCTCTCCATCCCCCTATAATCGATTCCGTAACAATTGAAAATCTCTTCATTTTGAGCTATATCCTCGAGTGCTTTAACAACAATGGTATCACACATGAAACTGAAAATATTTCTATTGTTATTTAATTTTTTTACGAGTTTGGAAACGTACTAATTCGTAACGTTTGGCCTACACGAATGGTTCATAATGCTAACTGATGGAAAAATTCCACTAGCTATCGTGATGAGAACATCCGGGAAAAGCAAATCCGACGAAGAGCACGTCCACTGCTCAATCGTGCTCGAATTGCACGCAAGTTGAGCAATGTGCTTGGTAATAAGGCCCCCAACGAGTTTCACCAAATTATCGAAATCCTTCTTTGGGCAATTTGGCTGTTTTAAAAACCACGTGAAAAAATCGGTGTATTTTCGCAAATACGAAACCACGATAGTGGCCATAACAATGTAAGGAGCAACGTTTTTGTTTTTGTAAATATTGGAAAGCAGTCGATTGAAATATCGATAGTTGTCGTCTTTATCACCGAAACATTTCAAATCGTCTTCAAAGCCACCTTCCAAGGATCGAAATCCCGTCGCAGCACCCTCCAGCATGACCTTAAATGCGGGAAGAGCGATACCCAAGTCGAACCAAATGTTGGCTTGCATCCCGTCGCATTCCCATCGATGGCACTTTTTCCAAGATTTATCGCGACAGTTTTCATCGCAGTAAACACAAACGGTGCAAGAATTGCAAGGGACACCGCTTACAATATCATTGAGACAATTGTAGCATTTAAATGAGTAGAATTCTTTGTTTTCTTTGAAAACAGGAGCAAAAACAAACGCTTTTTCTATGAAGAGGAGTTCTCCTCTGTTGATGTCTGTACTAGCAACAATGTGGCGTCCTTTGTCTTTATTGTAACTGGAATGGTTTTTAACGTTACCTTGCGAATTTGATTGTCGTTTGTTACCTCATTTTTACTTTTGTGGAAGCGTAAGCCAAACATTGATTTTCTCCATCGGGGAATACCGGGATTTCGTGAAGGCACTCTTGACCACTCTCAATTTTCGGTTTCGTATTTTTTAATTTCTTAATGTGGTTCAACCTCTTGATAAATTTATCTATAAACAAAAGCCCTACATGAAAATAAGGTTCAAAAATAAATTCATTACTAGGATATTTATTGAAATTCAGGTATGACATTTTTTCCCTCAAAAAATACATTTTGAGAAGAAAAGTTTGAATTGTTAGTTTTATTCGATTTTAATATCGTTGAATAAGCCATTTTATTTAGAAACTTTCTTGTCTCATATAAAAGACTTTAATCTTGTTTGTAATCATTTTTTTAGTGAGCAATAGACTCAGAAAATCAAAATTTTCCTTACCATAGAGTGGGAATTTTGTCTTTTGCGCCGAAGACAGAGTTACACCAAAGAAATTTAAGAATACCACAAAAAAAAATTAAACTTAAAAATTTATTTAATATAAATTCAGAGTGATAGTGAAACATAGCAAATTAAACTATTACTAAAAAAAATCATGTTTTGCAGTCTAAAAATTAATTAAAAAAAAATTTCAGAGTCTAACTTTTTCTGATAATACTGGAATGTTTTTTTTATAATAGTAATAAAAAATAATACATTTTCTCCTTCATATCTATGTCCTCCATATATACAGAAGTCTTGAAACGATTTTTTTCTGGCGAAACTATCAATTTTTTTGGCAAATAAATTTTTAGGTGAGCAATGGCTATAAAAATGCTATTCGAAAATAGATATCAACTAATAACAAGAAATACATAAACTGTAACATTTTCAATAAATATTTTTGTACATTTATAAAATGCATAAACATATCAAAACAATAAATAAAAAACCGTTTTATTTAAGAAAAAAATATTAACAGTATGGTAATTTCAAGTGTTTAAACAATTAATTAAAATAAAAAATATTCTGGCAGTGCTTCTTTACAACCTTTAAACATTTATTAATTTATTTCCAAAAAAAAAACTGGTAGTTTACTCAAAACAATTCTTTAATTCTTGTAAGTCAAACATTTTTTTAACAAAAAGGTTTGCACAGCAACAATTCTTGTAACAAGCTCGTTGTCTAGAAAAAAAATTGTGGTAGGTTCCCATTAAAAAAATTGTTACTATGTTTATCTCGTAAGAATAAACAATTTATTAATGTTTTTTTTTAATAGCATATTTATAGCCACCTATAAATTTATTTGCCAAAAAATTGATAGTTTCGCCAGAAAAAAATCGTTTCCAGATTTCTAAACCAACCTGTAAATCTACTAAATTGTTACTTTCCCTATTGTTAATCACAGTAGAACAAGTCCGAGTTATAACGAGTAAATCGCTTAGTCTCTTGCCGTTTTGTATACTACTCTTTGTAAAATTTCCCGTGTAGCGAAAAATTACGAGAAATAAAGACCCTTGAATCTCAATTACCAGAATTTTATCGAAAATGTAATTTTGCGTGCTAAGGGTCATGTCTGCATATTTTTTATCAGTTTTTAAAAGTGCAATTGATAAGATTAAGATGCTTCACTACCATAAACAAAACAGAATTTCATTAAATTTTGGTAAAAGTTAGTATACAGGGTGTTAAAAAAAGATTGTACAAATATTTCAGGAGGTAACGGTATACACCAAAACAAACAAAAAAGTCTTAATAAACATGGGTTCGCAAAGTAACGGTTTCAGAGATATCGAAAATTACCTATTCGTTTTTTGAAACATTTACTTGCAATCTATTCAAACAAAAAAGAGAAGAGCTTCTTGTAACAATTTTGTAACAATTCTAAAAAAATTTACATTCGATATCTCCGAAACCGTTGCTAACCCATATTTATTTTTCGTTTATTTTGATCCATACTATTACCAGCTTCTTATTGGATCCTCTTGTATGGAAATGATAAACAAAAACACGATTTGACCCGTCACACCAAACTTTTATTTTACCACAACGCGTTTCAACCGCAAAGTGGTCATCCTCAGGTGAGAATAAAACTAAATGAAACGCGTTGTGGTACAATAAAAGTTTGGTGTGACGAGTTAAATCGTGTTTTTATCATACTATTACCTCCTTAAATATTTTGCAATCTTTTCATTACATCCTGTGGTCGGGAAATAATTTATGAAGGATTACTAAGGTTACGAGCCCATCAAATGTCAAACTCTCAATTTACATAAATATACATCCAATCTGTTTATAGTAAAGATTGGTGTTATAAAACCCTTGCGATCTCGTTATAAAGAGATTTTACTGTATTAAAAATTCTCTCAAATGTTTGTTCGGTATTTCACTGTCTACGTTACAAGTACAGAGTGGTTATAAATGATTTTCATCTAGCCAGCTGTGAATTTTCCATGTAAAATAAAAAATGCCGCTTTACGAAAATAGGGGTACCTACTTGTTGTAACTCAAAATTAAAAAATCGCCGTTTACTAAGCGTCCACTTCGAAAATAGACTTCAATTATAAACTTGTTTTCTTCCAAAGTATACATTATTATCAATTATTATTGGAAATTAGTTGAGACAATAAAAATTTAATTAACAACAATTTATTATTAATTAATAAGTGACACTAATGACAGAACTAGAGCTTTCAAAAAAGTAGAGCGGCACAAATAAAGTTACATGCAAAAAAATTCCAAAGCTGGCTAGATGAAAATCATTTATAACCACTCTGTATTATTTTTATTAATACGTTGATGTTATTTACATTTGCAAATTAGAACAAAGCAAGTTAAATAAAAGCTTATAAAAAGAAAGACAGAGATGACAAAAAATGCCCAATTATCTGACTTTATATTATAAATCCACCGCCTCCTTAATCAAATGTATCAATATCCCGCTTGGGCATTGGAGTAGTGATTCCGATTTTTTCTTAGTTACGGGGGTTACTAAGGAAAAACTGAATAATTTTTAATTATTAACGAAAAATAACGCAATTAATAAATACTGGGAAGGAAGGATACAACAAAACTAGATACGCCAGGGAGAATTCATATTATTATGAGGTTGAATCCTTTAAGCTAAAAAACTGGATTTGTCAAAAATTTTCCCCAGATTAAAGCGCCAACGGGAATCACTTGAACTCAAAAAATGCCTAGGCGAGAAAAGGATTATTTCTATGGAGACGGCGATGATAAATCTAAAACCATTACAAATCTTCCTTTATTGGTTAAAATAAAATAGTAGTTTCGCGGTTAGAAAACTTAAAATTAGTTTTAATTACCTTTTTCCACAACGTTTTCAGTTTCGAGAAAATGAAACACTTCCGATATGCACTGATTTAGAGACTCTTTCTCATTCAATTCATAATAACACTCTGCCTTCCTAATGTAAATTTTAGGCTTCAAATCTGTTGGGTAATTACTCTTAAAACACAACTCAATATCTTTAAGACAGTTATGATATTCTTTCAATTCAAATGAAACTGCAGATCTATTAGCCAAAGCTAATCCATACTCTTTACTATAAGGTATAGCAAAGCGTAAACTTTTTGTATAACAATCAAAACTTTTAATTAAATTTTTCTCAGCGTAAAAATTGTTGCCCTCTCGCCTGTGCAAAGCCGAAATAGTGTTATTCTTTACCGTTTTGTTCTTAAACTGATTTTCCAACCATGAATAGATGCGCGTCCTGAAAATATCCACATTTAAAAAACAAACACTGGAATTATTCATCAACTTACAAATCTGCATCATAAAATTTTGAAAAATTTTCAAACACGTTGCCATCAATAGGTTTAAACAACTCGCTGTAATAAGCCACTAAACAATCCATTTTTGCATTTGTAGGTTATGTTTAAACTACACAAAAGTTAGTACTTATTAAAAAATTTCAGAACCCAATGTGCAGAAGCATAAAACAAGCACAAAAACTAAAACTTCTGAAATATTTGGATAATAAACAACCAATGTCACTCATCATAACCCTCACTCTGCCGGTGACAGATGACAGAACTCGTGATTAAAATAGTACAAAAGAACTACGAACGGTTTTCGCGAAATAAGAACCGAGTGAATAAGATTACTCAAGGGAAAAAAATAATTTCTTGTATCCTAAATAAAACTACATTAGTAAAGAATTAATACTACAATACTATATTTTTAATACTAAATAAAACTAGTAAATTTGCCTCACCCTGTATATCCATTTTCAAATAAAGATCTTTATCTTTACAATTTTAAAAAATTACGTTTTATCAGGTTTCACGTAGCGCAACAAGCTAATAACATAATTTGATTAAATAAAATATCATTTGCATTGATAAAAATACAAGAAGCCATTGTATGCAAAAATGTGTTGGAGATATAGTTTTTAACAGAATATCACACACAATCAATGCACAATTATTCAAAATTTGTTTCCTGATTTGAGTTAATTTTAATAGATTGTTGATAAAGTACAAGATACCACAACAAAAGTCACTCGATACATAAAATTATGTAAAACAATTTTCAATATATAAAAATGGGGAAAATACTCGAAAAACAGTATTGCATTAAACATGCATTACTTCTTCCCCTTTGTTATTTTGTCTTTAATTTACGGAAAATGCAATTCCGTTCAAATTATTTGGGACAACAATGTTGATTTTGACAGTGTGGAAGTTGAAGAATTAGGGCGTTCGGATCAAGTCAGAATGCCGAATTGGTTCTTCATCTATCCCGGTAAAAACTACAAGAATTTTTTTTTTTAATTATAATAATTTAATAGGAACTAAGTGGTGCGGAGCCGGGAACATCGCCGATGACGAAAACGATTTTGGTGAATTCCGAGACACTGATAAATGTTGCAGGAACCACGATTTGTGTCCTGATATTATTGAAGGGTACCAAACTAAGCACAATCTCACCAATCCGTCGTTTTTCACCAGGTAAATAAACTAAATTAAAATTTTTGTGGTAATTTACTGATTGTAGATTAAATTGTGAGTGTGATGAAGAGTTCCACCAGTGTCTTAAATCGGTCAATAGCCGGGTTTCAACGCAAATTGGGCAGATTTATTTCACGGCTTTGGGCACTCAGTGCTATCGAGAAGATTACCCAATTGTCTCCTGCAAGAAATATTCATACTTACCGTAAGACTAAAATTCAAAAAACTTTTTAATCAATTTCTACGTACTTCAGTTATTTCAAAATTATTTATTAATTGTACTCCAAAAAGTTGTAGGAATAATTATTTTTAAATTGTATTATCAATAGTAATATCCAAACGTCGATATGGCATCCACGAGGGTTTTTTTGCAGACTATTTCCCGAAGAAAACTTTCAGAAACAGTATTTTCATTATGAGAATTAAAAAAAATAATTTATCGAAAAAAATAAGTCATTCAACTCTTTCGAATTTCTGAAATTCACCCAATAATTTAGCAGACGGGCAAACTATCGATAATTTGCGGGTAATTTGAATGATTAGATGAATCTCAAAAATTTGAAAGATTTGATGGCTTAAATTTTGTAATGGAAATAGTCATTATTATTTATTTAACATTTTATTTTCCAGGAGACGGAAATGTAAAGAATACGAAATGGATAAAACCAAAGACAAAGTGTATGAGTGGTTTGATGTTCCAAACTATTAAGACAAAGAAATTGATTTTTAAGAAAGTTGTGAAAAATGAAACTGCAAATAATTTCCACTTTTATTATTTTTATTTTAAATAAAAGCTTCCACTTTTATTCCTCCTTACTTTACAACATGATTTTTGTGATCAGTCCTGCAGCTATCGTAACCCCACCCACCCTCAACATAAACCTACCCAACTCCTTACAATCACTGTACAATTCAAGAGCAATCGGCCTCGAAACTTGAATCTCAACAATAGCACTAGTATTATTACTCAAAAACCTCGGATGTTTCTTAACCACTTCTCCTGTACTTCTATTCAGCTGCGAGATCAGTTTCCTCACCACTGCTGGTTCGACCAATGACTGATGATGTAAAATAACCTACCGAAAATTAACCAATTACAAATACTCAAAAACTGCATCACTCTCACCGAAAATCCCTTTGTTATTGGAATAGTCAAGTTGAAAACCACAATCCTTGCTTGGAACTTTGAGGACACTTGGACGGGGTTTTGAGGGTCACAGAGAACGTTTCCAATCGAAACATTCTGCATTTCAATACCGGATAAAGTGACAGTGGCTTGGTCCCCAGCAAAAACCACTGTCTGGGATAAATCTTCGATATAGAGCGATTTGACCACTGAAAGCTCCCGATTGGGGCACACCATGACCCGGTCTCCCACATTTAAACTGCCAGTTTCGACCCTACCGGAAACACAGAACCCAGAGCCAGTCCCTTTGAAAATGTCATTGATGGATAGGCGAAATGGTTTAGAGACCGGACGTGCGGGAGTACGAAAATTATCTAAAAATAAATTAAAAAAAAATGCGATATTTGTAAAACAATTGTAAAAAAAAACTGTTAAAGATGAGCCAAAATAAAGAAAATCTTCTGCAGGATTTAAAACCTACGTAATAGTCTGTTTCTTTTTACATTACGAACATTTTTAAATTATAGTTTCAAAAATAATAGACCACAAAATAATATTTATGTAATTACATTTAGGGCAATAAATTACAAAATTATGAAACACTGACGAAAAGCAAAATAAGTTAGTCTTTGAATTAAAACAATTCGGTGGTCAAAATAAAATAATTTACAATTTAAAAATTATTTAGTTATTTTTTGACGAACTCACGTAAAATAAGAGTTTCTAATTCAAAAATGAAATAAATCGCTCGAAGCAAACCAAAATAACATCGATTTCGATCAAATTTATTGGTTTTTCACAAAATAAATAAAAGTTTCTCGCTCAAAAACGAGCCAAGTTCCTCGAAACAGACCGAAATACCATCAATTTTAAAATAATTTTGTAATTTTTTAAATTGTTTTGAACAAATTACGTGAAAGTTTCTTACTCAAAAAATGAGGTAAATTGCTAGAAACAAACAAAATAATGCCATTTAAAAAAATATTTTTTTTTTGTTTTGACTGGAGAAAATCTCCCGAAATAAATCAGTTTTTCACGTAAAAATGCTAAATCGCTTAAAACGACCAAAATAGCATCAATTTTTAGTTATTTTTTGAGTTGTTTTGATCAAAATTCCATGGATTAAGAGAGTTTCTTACCCAAAAACGGAGTAAATCGTTCGAAACAGTCAAAAATAAGGCCAGTTTCAATTAAATTTCATAATTTTCCGTCTTGTTTGGCAAAATCTCACGAAATAAATAAGTTTCTCCCTCAAAAACAGTTTGAATCCTTCAAAATAGTTTCGCTTTAAAATAATTTGATCATATTTAGAATTATTTTGACGAAATAACATGACATAAAAAAGTTTTTTTTTACTCAAAAACAGAGTAAATCGCTCGAAACAGACAAAAGTAAGGCCAATTTCGATCCAAATTCGGTGATTTTTCGTCTTGTTTGGGCAAAATCTCACTTGAAAAAGGTGAAAATAATATCAATTTTAAAATGATTTGGTTATTTTTTGATTTGTTTCAACAAAATTACAGGAAATATAAGAGAGTTTCTTACACAAAAAACGGAGGAAATCGCTCGAAACAGACAAAAATAATGCCAATTTCTATTAAATTCGGTCTTTTCGGACGAAATCTCACGAAATAAATGAGTTTCTCCCTCAAAAACAAGGTATCCCTTAAAATAGCATCAATTTTAAAATAATTTGGTCATTTTTTCGAATTGTTTTGACAAAATTACATGAAATATGAGTTTCTTACACAAAACAGACAAAAATAAGGCCAATTTCGATCAGTTTATCACTCGAAAAAGCTAAATCTCTTAAAATAGGTCAAAATAGCATCAATTTTAAAATAATTTAGTTGTTTTTTGACTTGTTTCGACGAAATTACAGAAATAAGAGAGTTTCATAAACAAAAATGAAGTAAATCGCTGGAAACAGACAAAAATAAGGCCAATTTCTATCAAATTCTGTGATTTTTGCCTTTTTGAACAAAATTTCACGAAATACATAAATGAGTTTCTCCCCCAAAAACAAAGTACCCTTAAAAATAGCATCAACTTTAAAATAATTTGGTCATTTTTCGAATTGTTTTCACAAAATTACACGAAATAAGAGAGTTTCTTACACAAAAACGGTGTAAATCGCTCAAAACAGACAAAAATAAGGCCAATTTCGATCAAATTTAGTGATTTTTCGCCTTGTCTGGACGAAATCTGACAAAATAAATGTGTTTCTCCCTCAAAAACAAACAAGATCCTTCAAAATAACATTAATTTTAATCTACTTAGGTCATTTTTCAAAAAATCTCACGAAATAAATGAGTTTCTCCCACAAAAAAAAAACTACCCCTTACAAATAGCATCTACTTTAAAATAATTTGCTCATTTTTCGAATAGTTTTGTCAAAATTGCATGAAATAAGAAAGTTTCTGACACAAAACGGAGTAAATCGCTCAAAACAGACAAAAATAAGGCAATAAATTTCGATCACATTTGATCTTGTTTAGATGAAATCTCACGAAATAAATGAGTTTCTCAAAAACAAGCTAAATCCTTCAAAATAACATCAACCTTAAAATAATTTGGTATGTATATGAAATTGAGAGTTTCTCTAGAAAAACTAAATCTCTCAAAACTGGCCAAAATAGCATCAAAATATTTTGGTGATTTTTTGACTTGTTTTAATGAAAATAAACGTACAAAAAAATAAAAAAGTTTCTCACTAAAAAACGACAAAAATAAGATCAATTTCCATTAAATTTGCTGATTTTTTGTCTTGTTTCAGGGAAATCTCACGAAATAAATGAGTTTACAACTTTTACAACTTATTGATTTTCGTTGGTTGATTAACATCCAGTTATTTGGTGTCTATTTTTTAATAAAAAAAAAAAAAATAAAAAAATAAAAAAGAAATAATTACAAATTTTTTTAGATGAAACTATGATTTTAAATTATGACTGTTTTTGTCAAGGTAATCAAAATAATAAAATAGTTTCAAAAGTTTAACAAACTCGATTAATAAAATTAATAAAAAGCAAATAAATTAATTTAACAAAAAAAATCTAAAGTAAGCTGAACTTAGATTTAATCGTTACATTTTTTAACTTACCAATCACTTCCAATAAACACGGCCCGTTGTACCAAGTCAAGAGCTCGTTTTCCGTCGGTTTGTCGATCAAATTTTGACCGGTTAAACCGCTACAAGGAACAAAAGTAACATCGCCTTCCCTAAATCCGGCTTGTTTGAGAAAAATCTTCAACTTTTGTGAAATTTCATCGAATCGTTCTTTCGACCACGAGACTGTATCCAACTTATTGATGGCAACGGCGAGTTGAGTGACTCCTAGAGATCTGACAAGAAGTGCGTGCTCTCGGGTTTGGCCACCGAAATCGAAACCAGTCTCGAATTCGCCCCTGGTGGCGTCTACTACCAACAAAGCGACATCGGCTTGGCCCGCCCCTGATATCATATTTGGGATAAAATCTTTATGACCGGGGGCGTCGAGTAAAGTCACGTGTTTTGTTTTTGTTTCGAATTGGGAGCGACCCACGTCCATGGTTATACCTCTGTTTCTTTCCTCACCGGTTTCGTCCAAAACCCACGCATACATAAAACTTTGTTTTCCCACTTTTCTGCTCTCTTGTTCATACTTGTGCATTGCTTTTTGATTCACCTTGAATTAAATTTACGACCATAGTGGCTTGTGACTTTGAAATTAAGTTGGCAGCATTGTGAATAATGTAAGATGACAGACAGGTAAGTATCAAGTTTTATAAAGTAAGAAGGTTGCCTCGTAACTTTGCACCAATCACGTGTGCGCATTATTCGCGCGAAATGACGTCACTGGAGGTTTCGTTCAAAAATAGGATAAGTAACCAAACATATTATTAAGTTAAAAAACTAGAACTCCGTAAAATAAATACTGATAAAATATTTTTTATTAACGGTAAAATACACATTGATAAAAAAATATAAATCTATTTTGCTAAAACTTGCAATATTTTAATTTATAATTTTATTAATTTTTTCTTTGTTAGTTTATCAGAAATTTTCTCGATACCTATTTATCGCAGAACACTGATCTCTTTTGTATATGATAGAAAATGAAATTTTCTTTCCAATGGTACCAAACATAAGAGGTTATTACCAATAAGTCCGGAGTTACTATAAATAGACCGCTCCGGGTGCCAAAAATCGACCAAAATCCCGACAAAAATCAAAAAAAATTTAACTTTAAAATCGATCCATATAACGTTACATTTCTAGTGATCTTAAAGACTCAAAATAGTGCATAAAATGTTATTGGGTCAAGTTTAAAAGTTCAAGAGTTTAAAAACGCTTGAAATATGTTTTTTTAGACGTAAAATTACCCGCTGAACACGATGCAACAGGTTAAAATACTCTGCGATGCATAGTTTATGTGTTATTGAATAATAAAGCTAAAAAAAGGCTAAAAGCATACAAGATCTATAAAGGAAGATGTGGTAAATAGTGCAAGATGCAATGCAATAATAATAACACAAATCTGAAATCTGACATAAGGTGATCAACTTCAGACAATTCAAAATCAAAATTTACGACAAAAAGAAGACTTTAACTTAAAAAAAAACTTTGTTTTCACTGCAAATGAAAATCTCAAAAAATTGCACACTTAGGTGTGTTGGTCCTTAAATCGAGACAAATCAGGACGTAAATGCAAAACAAGACAAGACAATAAAAACCAGTCTGAAACCTGCGGCTGATCGAGCAAAACTCCACTGACGTCACCATATAGCCATCTTACTCGCTCTTTAGTGTTTTCCTCTAGATTATTCAATTTTGCCAACTTTATTTCACTTTGATCAAATCTTAAAAGAAACACAAAATAGTATTGCACAATATAAGTGAGACAAGTGAGAAAGTTGCCCATTTTTCACGAGTTTAATACTTTACTTTTTCTAATCTTAAATCTTTTTATTATTATTATTATTATTTAATTTTCTTCACGGTTGTGGAGAAAATTAAATACCGTCTTCACACTTTTAAATTTTTTCCACAGTATTTTTTTATTTCCACTAACCTGTCCCAAATCATACAGCAAATGTCCCATCAATGTTGACTTTCCAGCATCCACGTGCCCAATAACCACCATGTATAAATGTTCTTTCGAATCGCCCCTTTCCTTTTTGTATTGACTTTCAACATCGATTTTATTGTCCCTACTTTTGACAACTTTGATTTCTTCAGTGTTTATTGGAGTTCCTCGACCAGAAGCAGGTGATTGCGAACGTGGAGTTGTAGTTAATTTAACGGAGTCCTTATTTTGGCTAAGATCGAAGCCTTTTGTGACGTTTGTGGTTGTTTTACCCCCAGATGCCACCACTTTTATGCTGGGTACTTTTGATGTAGCGATAAAAATTTATTTTACTTTACCAAGTGAATAAACAAGACAAGTCAATTATACTCAAGTTGCCCTTCGAGATTGCAATTTATTTCTAATTAATAAACATTCAAAGTATCATGATTCTTTATTATAATTGTGAAGTTAAGTAGGACCAGCTTATCCAGTTTTCAGAATCTAATAAAACTGTTTTTTACTGTTAATTACTCAAGAATTTTTGAACAAAGTTTAAAATTTGTTGCTTATACAGAATATGAAATGTAATATACAAAAAAATTATAGATTTTTATAGAAAAAATTTTGTTTACAATCTATACGGTCAAAATAAATTTCAAAAATACCAAAGTAACTATAACATGATATAAAAAATTACTTCTTTATAGACTTTCTGCAATGTATTATTATTTACTGATGTCTATTTAGTCTTTTTTTATAGTTTGATATATCTACAAGGTCACTAAAAATATGGATACACATTTGATCAAGACTATTATGAGGTAAAAAATAGTACAAATTGAAAAATACATAACTTGTTATTCTACACACGGTGTTCAAAATGTTTTTCATTTACTTCCTGGCAATAATGTATAACAAAATTTTGTAAACAATCAATCAAACTGTTGAGAGAAATTTAGAAAATTAATTAACTGTATCCATAATTTTGTATTATTGTATTTTTTTTATAATTACGCTTTTTTATAAATATCCATATTGTTTAAAAATTATTAAAATAAAATAGACAAATGTGTGGCAAAAATTATATTTTTGTATTCATTTATTTTCTGGAATCAATTTTTTAATCCAAATTATTTTTATCCTAAAATAAATTTTTAACTCGTTTTCTCTGTATAAATCGTGGAGGGGTGAAATTTCTCCCTCCACACTATAAACCGATTATTATTTTTTTATTTTGACACAATATTTAGAAATCATTTTGAATTATTATTATTATACCAGGTGAATAAAAAGTATGGAACCAAACGTTTTTTGCTTAAACTATTTATTTTTTGAAAAAACTAATTGATGAGTGCTAAAGTACTATAAAAATGTGATGATTTAACAAGAATAAAATTTTTCGAAATTTCCTTTTATTTTTGAGTTCTACAAAAAAAAAATTTTTTTAAATGGCAACCCACTATAAAATCATTTTTCTCATAAAAGCTATACTCTAAGGATTAAAACTATCTGCTTTATTTTTAATTTTTTCAAAAAAATTTTTTCACATAAATTGCAATTTTGACAAAAAAAATCGCATATCTCAAAAACAAAACAAAATTTCGTTCTGAAATTAGGATCACATTTTTTATATTACTTTAATTTATATTAATTATTATTTTCCGGAGGCAAATAATTAAAAATAAAGCCGCTTGGTTCCATACTTTATATACACTCTTGTATATGGTTTAGGTTTGTATGTATACTATGTTATTACTTGTCAGTTATCACAATATCATATTCAGTACAATACCAAAAGTAATAAAATAATTGAAGAATTTTACTTCAATTTTGTACCTAGACGACAGTAAAAAATGAACAACATCAATTAATCAATGTTGCCAACTTAATCTCAAAGTGACAGTCCATTTTGATCGAAAACTTAATTGAATGCATATACTCGTAACTATAAATAATTTACTTCATTTCCTCACTCTTTAGTATTAATGAAAAATTTCATTAAGTTGTTGTGTACAAACTTCAGATATGGTAATTAAACATAGTTCAATACTTCCTTAATAATACATTCTTTAAATTAGTATTTAATTTTTTATTTACTTGTATTGAGCGAAATGTCATTTTATGTTATGGAAGAATTAAAATACTTATTATAACATTTGAACAAGACTTATAATTAATATAAAAATAGTATATTATGCAACGAGTGAGAAAGCTGACCATTTCCAGGATACGAGCCGAAGGCGAGAGTAATTTATGTGAGTGGAAATGGCTATTTCTCACGAGTTTAATACTATACCTTTTCTAATCTTAAATAATAGCTGAAATATTTTTTTTATTTTTATTATGACCTGGCAAAAGAAAAAAAAAACATTTGGCAGACAATTATTCAATTCTGACAAACAATTTCCACCACCTTTATTTTTCCCTTTTATTATCATTATTATTTAATTTTCTCCATAGTTGCAGATTGAATAACTTTCTCAACTGAAAACGGTTGAGAAAAGTACAAATTTTTAACGTGATTAGAAAAACTACAAAAAGATACGGTAGCACAAGTTTTATTTAAAAAATATTGTCTTTTTATACTAATGAGTATTTATTTATTATTAACCGGTATTACAACTATTTATTTAATCCCTACAAAAAATGCATTTTGAACCGTCATTAAAACTATTTGCTATACTACAAAAACTACAAGAAAACTTGCGTCGTCAACTTTTCAAATGTTTAATTATGTTATCATCAGGCGAAGGAATGGCAAAATTAAAAATAGTTATTTTTGTAACATCAATTACACGTTTATTTCGTTTAACTTTGATAGAATTTCGTCTTCTGTATTTACGACATAAAACCTTCCCAAAAGTCGAAACTGGTTTCACATTATAAAGACAAACATTTAGGACATGTTTAGCATCAAAAGCAGACTTCAACACACTTTTAGTTTCCACATCAACATCACAATCAACAAAAGGAATCTCAAATTTTTCTTCATGCAAATCGTGTTTGCTTCTATTTGGTAAACTATGAATACTCGGTGACGACTTTAACGCAACTGAGAGATCAATCTGATATTCACTTGTTGATTTTTGTATTTCAGGTTTTTGAATAATTTTCAAACTATTAATATTTTGCGTAATTTGATGAACATTGTCAGTTGAATCAACTGAGACGATATTTTTGAACGTTTTACTCAAATGATTTGAGACCAAATCCGACAGACTATCAAACTTTTTGCTTGTATCAGATTTGTCTTTAGCAAAATTGAGTTTTGGTATTGTGAACGTTTGAGATCCATCAGATGGTAGTTTACTTAAAGAAGGAATGTTAAATCGTTTTGAGGGTGTGAAGGGAGACTTGATATTATCTTTGAAACCATTCAGTCTTGGTACAAAAAATTTTGCAGAACTGTTTGTAACATCTTACCTTACAAAAAAGAAAAAACAAAACAAATAAATACTGCGGTTTAATAACAATTAATAGTCACCTTTTTCCTTTGATTCACTCTGCAAATTCTTAGAGTCGTCTAGTAATGCATTTGTGGCTCGCTCAATGTTGTAATTGTTTGAAATTATTATATTCACTAACTCATTCCTAGGGATGCTCAAAGGACCCAAAGTGGCTTTAATCTCTTCAATGCAGGACTCTAGTCGTGCTTTATCCAAGTCTGACAATTCTGACGCCTACAAATCTTAGTGAGGAGAGATACACACAAAGGCCTTTACTTGTGTACCGATTCTGATTCGTCTTCCTCTTGAATATCCTGTTCAGTACGAATAAACTCTCCAATTTTTGGTTGGTCTCTTGAGTTCTCCCGATTATAAATAAATTGTCGATTACTGGGTGAAATATAATAGTCATCGTCAACAGAATGGCCATAAACGTCGTCATAACCGTCGTAGTCTGCAGCAACAACAACATTTTTGTTAAGAAAGATTGCATTAACCTAGTGTACTAGAAACCAGTTTCAGAAACCTACCCTCGGAATAATCCATATTGCGGACATCTCGATGTCGCGACATTTTCTCTTATATTTTATTCACTGCAAGTTTTATAAAAAGTATTAAATAACAAATTATTACACTTTTCACAACTTTCAAGCTGACATTTTATTACAATTTTCTGACATTTTAATATTTCGGTTGACATTAGAGCTACTAAGTAGGTGGACGAAATCCGGTGGAAGCGAATTTTTTATACTGTTTGTATTTTTTATGTGGAAACATCACTTGAAGCACCAAATTATTACAAATAGAAAAAATATTGTTTATTGCAAGAGTTATACAAACAAGTTATACAAGTAACTATATTTAATCAAATTTTTTAAATTTCAATTGACCTCTAATTGATAAAGACAAATTTAAACAAAAAATTTAGTATTTAGTGAAGTCAGTGCGCCTCTTTATTTTCTTCTGATGATTAAAACGGGAAAGTATAAATTTAGGTTTGTACAGAGCTTGTTAATTTCCGACATTGACGACTATTAAGGTTTACTTCTTTTGATTTTTCTCACTGTTACAATTTTTTGACCAATCAATTTCTGAAATTCGTGTTAGCTAGCAAACATTCGTTAAAAAACAATTAACTTCTATTAATAATTTAATACTAATAATATTTACCTACTGTTGTATCCGCCTTGCAACTTAATGAATTTATTATTAATTAAGGGTGGGTTAAAATAAATTGAGATATTTCCAAATAATATTACAGGTTTTCAAAAGGATTGCTTTTTGAATCTCATAATCTGTTAATTGCAGCACCGCAAAAACGAAATGAAAAAACTTAATAGAAGTTTGGAAGATGCCTGACAATAAAATTATAAAATTGTAAATTGTGACAAACAGGCTAAATTACATTATAAAAAAATCAATTTGCGGTGTTTTTGCACTCAAGTGTATACCGGATGAATAAACGCGATTTTAACAATTTATTTAAAAAAAGTACTGGCTAAAAAACAATTTTATTTGATTAGAGGTCATTATTAGATCATAGTCCTTAATGAAAAAAATTACCATGGTGGGTTGCCATTTAAAAAAAATCCAAAACTTGAAAACTAAAAGAAATTTCGAAAAACGTTATTCTTGATAAATGGTCACATTTTCATTGTACTTTACGCTACACTAATTATTTTTTCGTGTGGTTAGTTTACGAAAAAAAAACGCTTGGTTCCATACTTTTTATTCACCCGGTATATCTTATCCTCATAATACAAAATTGGCTCGTTCAGTGTTCCAACTCTTCAAATATAGAAACTCTTGTTTTTATAAAAATGCAATCTTTTTCTATTTGTTCATAATTTAGAACACAACCAAAAAACGCTCAATAAAAATAAAAAAACAGATTGATAGAGTGACAAATTCATAGGATAAATTTAGACAAGTTGACTGAAGACGTCATGTGATTGTCATTTCGCACCTCATCGGTAAACTTTGTAAATAATCCCTTTTAGATTTTATAAAAATGGCGTCAGTATTTCATTTATTCTGCGAGGCAGCTCATATTAAGCAAAATGTTGTTAAAAAATACTCGTGGGTGTTATCCATCTCGCCATCAAGTTATAAGACATAATAAAAATTTTCAGGGAACTTGCAGAAAGCGACAAAAAATTATACTTTTCTGCAGTTGCAATACAACGCACATGGCGTGGATATTGGGTTCGCAAAATGATAGAAAACTGGCATAACAAAGCGACCACAATTCAGAGATTTGCCAGGGGGTGGTTAGTTAGACTTCACTTGCCTGAAAGATTAAAAAATCATCATTATTATTTGAGTACTAAGTATTACAATGAGCAAGCTACGAAAATTCAAGCTCTTTGGAGAGGATATTGTGTAAACAATTTTAAAATCTTGACTTATCTATAATTTGCTTGAATCTAGACACGAAAGGTGGAGGTCTCTGTCAAAGCTATCTTAAGACAAAGATACGAAATAGAAATGGCCAATAAAGAAATGCAAGATCAAATGAGGCAAGCGTTTGAAGAAATGCGTGCTTCTGCATGGACTGAAACACAACAATACATAGAAAAAATCCTAATGATGTTATTTGAAAGGCATCATCTTTTAAGAACTAGAACGCAAGAGGGAGTTTTTTCTATTCATGGTTCCAAGTAAAGTTTTATTTTTTAGACAAGAGACATCTTTTCAGTTTTTGAAAATTTTAGCGAACTTTCTTGTATAGAAAGAATATTACGCAGTTTTCCACTTAAAGATTACATGACACAATTGCATGAATCAAGTCAGAACATTATTCCTGAAAAATCACAAGGAGATAAGAAAAAGTATTTTTACTATTTTTGGTACTTTTTGTCACTATTTTAAACTTTCAGGTTTGATCTGAACACAACTATAAAGCCCAAACCATATGAAAAGCTGCTACTAACACGAGATTAAAGTGTAAAACAAAATTAATGTATTGTATATCTTCTATTAACTATTTAATTGTTATATACAAAAATTTACATAAATTCCATTACAAAGGTAACAAGATGTGTGTTTTTGGCGTCATTAATAATGTCTGGGTGTTGTAACAATTCCAGATTTAAAATTTATGGTACTTGATAATCCGAATAACATGAAGCAACACCACAGTTGGAGTCAAAGAGTTTTGAAGCAGCTTGAAATGCCACCATGTCGAGGCTTCCTTGATGTGCAGACATCATACCACTTTGGTTAAGCGACATGTTTCCCAAAATGAGCTCCCTGAAACCAAAAATGTAAACTAGAGATTTGATTTTGATAAAATATACAGTATGTGTTTTATAAATTGGTGAGATATTCTTTCCTGTATCATAGTTTTTCTTTTGAATAAATTACTGAAATTACGTCTTCAAATAATTTGCAATAATTATTAAATAACACAACTTGTTAACAAAATTTGATAACAAAAAGATCAGAGCTAAGAGACAGTAGGTTTATTGTTTCATACAAACAAAAATTATGAAAAGTGACAGAGATAATAAAAAAATAAATCCTGGAATTTTCTGTGAGTTTTGAAGTGAAATCCTGCACAATATTGAATGAGTCGTAACAAATATTAATAAGATAAAATATGTAAAATTTATCAAATTGTTGTTCAAAGTAGTAAAATTAAGAAAATCGTGTAAAAAATAAGAAAGAAGAACCATTTCAATAATTTTGAATTAATTTAAAAATGTTTAAATGTTAAACTTTTTTGTAACAAGAAAAGTGTAAAAGTAGTATTATATTTATCTGTCACGCCTTAAAAAAATGCTGAAAATTTTTTGCTTGAAAGCAAATTTCCTTATGTTTTTTTAAATACAAAAATCTACAATTTAAGGTTAGTGCAGTTTCCTTATTATTAGTCATTATTATTGACTTAACAATAAATGGCTCACAAAAACACTGATAAAATTTCAAATTTATTATAACCAAAAAAAATTTGATAACAAAAAAATTAAATAGGTACCTACTCTACTGTTAAGTATTTCATAGACGAATATGACAAGAATGCAATAGAAAAATTCTCAGATATAAATTACGTATTTGTAATGAGTTTTGAAGACAAAAACGTTCAAAATTCTGTACAATATTGAAATTATTGTAACAACTATTAATATTTTCAATGCGTGCATAAACAAAAAATTGGTATAACTTGCAGAACTTGAGAACAATTACGCAAAAAAACGATTTCTTCTTCCCTATGTTTGCTGAATTTATTGTATTTAATTTTTATTTACATGAATGTTCGTAAACCTAGTGCTCAATACAGCTTGGGGGTATAAAATTTTCTTTAATGCAATTAATTTGAGATGAGTAAAATTAGGATATGCAAAAAGCTAAATAAATACTCTCAAAAATTAGTCAGTATTGGTTTTTGTTTTTTTACATTTTCAAAAATATCAAAAAATAAAAAAATATTTTATTTAATTAATTTAATTAATAAAAATTTCCCCAAGTCCGTGGATCAAAAAGAAGAATAAAAAACTGCAACTTTTTCCAGTTATTTCTTAGGATTACGTAATAACCGTAGCTCAAAAAAATTTTTGCCAAAAGATTTCAAGACTAGAAACTTGAAGCTTTAAAATGGATTTTTTTAATCTAAATACGACCATTTTTCATTGAGGTACCTACAATATTTCAAAAATCATCAAAAAATTTAAGAAATCTTCTTGTTCTTTAAAGTTTTCAGAATAGTAAAAGGTTTAGTATAATGTTTTGTCGTTTTGAAGTTTTTGAAATAATAAGAAATATTTTTTCACTAATGAGTTTATTTTTTTATTAATTTAAAAAATGGAAAAACAAAATGGAATAACATAAACGATGAATTTGATCCATTTTCTGGAAAGGAAAAATAGAACAAGAAAAAATTTAAAACACCTCTTAAATTAAAAGTGATTTTGAAAAATACAACATCACTAATAAAAGATTACAATTCCAAATATTATTAAGAGTTAATACTTACTATTATTTTTTTACCTAAAGCAAAAGTACATTATTTTCATTTTTCAATGAGTGCATCCGCCCCGATGCACCGACATGTAGTCGGCGCCCATGGATAAAGTTACAAAGTTTACCAAATTGTTGTTCAAAGACGAGTAAAGTTAGAAACATTGTGTAAAAACGTCAATTTTTTAATCTTTTTGTATTAATTTTAAAAATATGAAAACAGTATTATATTTTTCTGTCATGCCATAACAAAATTCGCTCTCCATACTTTTACTTGAGAACCGAAAATTTCCTTGTGTGTTTCTTTTGAAAGCGAAAATTAAAAATTTAAGGCTGGTGCAGTTTTCGTCGTTGTTGTTAACTTAACAATAAGTGGCCGTAAAACCCCTGATAAAATTTTAAATTTATTGGAGGTAGAAAGAGGAAAAATTCTAATTATTGTTAGTTAATACTAACGGTCTAGGCTGTGGCGTCCTATCCCTCTGCCTTCTATTTTTGAACCAGTTTGAAACTTGTGTGAGTGTGAGTCCGGTCCGTTTTGCCAGTGCCCTTTTTTCATCTGGCGTAGGATATCTATTCCTCGAGTAGCATTCCTTCAACGCATTGCGACTGCGTTCTTTAAAACAATAAACAGTTTCTTCTCCATCCCATATGGTTTTGGGAAGCGGGTATTTTTTCCTCAACCTGTACTTATCCACCGCTCCTGAAACCAATTTTATAACAACTGTAATCAAGCGTTTATGTTTCATGTAAGCACATACCCAGTGGTCTGCCGCGTACTTTTTCAGCTTCGTTGTAATGTGCTTTAAACCATAATGTCTGCAATTCGGCATGCCATCGTTGATTAAACGCATGTGACTCCAGAATGGAATAAAGCTCGTGGTATGACCCTCGGTAAAATGCCACGGCAGCGCGAGCTCGGAGAATGCTTTCGTTCCCTCTCAAAAGCTCCGACGGCGGCAAGGACCACAGAAATGTTGCCAGCCTTTCGATATCCCCTCTCTGATGAAGCGCTTCGCACATACATTGCACCTAGGAAATTAACTGAATTTTAGACTAAACCCAATAACAGGCGTTAATTTCAATTTAAACAAAAATAAGTGGCAAATAGAACGATAAATAACTTGTAAAGATTTTCTTTTAAAGTAAAATAAATGTATAGACGGTATATGATAAACATTTGATAATAAAATATGTTGGTAATATTATAGATTGTTACCATTTGTCTGAATGAAAACAATTACTTAATTTTGTGTAAAAATTTCAGTTCTTTCAGATTTCTTCAGGTGACGGCTATACATAGCGGCGTCCACTTTATTCAATTTTGCCAACATAATTTTAAAATCATAGGCCACATACACCACAATTTTTGTGTTTTTTATTAAATTGACACAAACATACAGGGTGCGCCAGAACACGCGCCCCAGAGAAAAATGCCATATAAGGTAAGTAACCAGGAACATGGAAAAAATGTTAAAAAAATTTTATCTATAAAAATTTCGAAGTTATGAGGGTTTAAAGTTTGCACTTTGACTATTTATTTTTGTTGAAAAAATAATTTTCCAAGTTTTTTTGCTATAGGCTATTAAAAGAGGAAACAAGGAAGCTGTATCCTAAATTGTAACTCTGTTCAATGTTATTTGTAGCTTTTATTGGCAAAATAGATATAAAAAATGTCAAATGTCAAAAAATAAATGTCAAAATTTTTTGAACATTTTTTTCATGTTCCTGGTATCTTACTTGAAAATTTTCTCAGGGGCGCGAGTTATGGCGCATCATTTGAGCTATGCTATATTATTAAATTTATAGAAGGTCAATTTGGCTATTAAAAAAATAGAAGTTAACTTTAAATCTTAAAACCAAGTGTCCAAAACTGTAAAAACTACATTTGTATAAAAAATTAAATTATTTATTTGTTTGCAAAGTTTTTTATTATTTATTTAATTTTTTATAAACTGTACTACAAATCCTTAATAATGAAATAGATAACGTTCAACAT